CAGTCCCCAAGCCTTGGCTCTTGCCAACCTACATCTAATACTCTCCGGCGTTAAGTAAGCAGGGCGGGTTACTTATTAGGATAGAATGTGCATTCTGTTCCAGATGGGAATTTCTATATGTAGGTAGGAAACATGGAACTTGCCTTCTGGTTTGAATACTCTTAAGCATGGTAATAAGTTTCTGCGTGTGTCAGAGACACCCAGCTGACCAAAACAAATTTCATTACGCAGTGAGGTGGAGGAAAGGGATATTTTTAATTCAAGTGTTTACAGTGCTTGTAATCCAGAGGTTAGGGAAAAATTGCAATCTCTTTCCAGTCTTGAATTAATCATTCTTAGTCATGAAGTCCTGTAGCTCAGCGGTTAGAGCACTCGCCTCGGAAGCGAGAGACCTGGGTTCGATTCCCGGTAGGTCGAAACCTTGGACAAGTTTCCTTACTCCACAAGCCTCATGATAATCCCTCAAGAAGAAACAAAAAAAACAATAATAATTTGGTCATGCAATCCACGACTGTTTGTGGGATGCTGCTGTGCTCAATTGGCTGCCGCATTTCGCCCACAAATATAGAGTCAATTCACTTTACAGTATATTCTGTGAAGTGCTTTGAGGCATCTTGAAGACTTGAAAAGTGCTATATCAAATGCAAGGATTATTATTATGAAGATAACACGCCATTAGTTAATCAGTTATCAAAATTGGACTATTTGGCAGCACTGATTCAGTCATTAGTTGTATATTAGAAAGTGGTGATAACTATGTAACAAGGATAGGTCACTTTTTTGATAACCTCCACCAGATCCATGGGGAAAATTAGAAACTTTCCATTTGAACATACAAAGCATACCAAGGGTGCTATAATCCGATGGAACACACCCATTTATTGTGACCCGTTATTTTTGGTATTGTTTATTAGTTCAGCAACTTGGTATCTGCTGCAAACATCATTTGTGGTATAATCAGGATTTTAAACCTTTTGAATGTAATTTTACGATGTGACTATCAGACCGTTCCATAAATTCAGGATTAAGGATGATGATTAAAATCTATTTTTTTTGTTCTCCAACAAATGTTCTGTATTATGGCACCTCTCGTTCAGCGTTCACTAAATATTTTTGTTTCTTCTTAAAGTGTTTCTGGAGATGGTTATGTCTCTGGTTCGCAGTTTAAGGAACAACCCACTTGTGCTAATTTTGGCTGTTCTACCTGACTGCTTGAAAGGAGCAGTGTGACATTCAGCCAAAGGAGGAGGAAAAATTATTGTTTTTTTTTGTTGCAAAGTAGGTCAATGAAAGGTAATTTTGATTGCATCCTGAGAAAAATAGAGAGTAAAAGAAAGCAAACAATAAAATGAGAGTATTCTGTAGCACTACAGTGAGAAATTATTTTGTGAAAATTTTGTATAATGCTATATTGTGCGGTTCTTCAAGATAACTAACGTTTAACACACAGATTTAGTTCAGTAGATGCAACCTGACAACAGAATACTCGCAAATGAAGCCCAAGTCGGGGAAATTTGCAACACTACCAGCTTTCTTATGCATTTAAGGTCTGTTCAGTCTGGAGACGAGATTTTTTCTGGGCGTTCAGAAGTGATTGGTATAAAAGCACAACTTTATATTCATTTGGGTCAGCAGAACCTATAATTTCTGTTGAAATAGATGCCTGTAATTTCATGTTGTTAAAACTCCCTTATTCTCTTGAGCCTCGAATAAGAGACTTATTGAAAAGCAATCCTGGGAGAAGTGTGTGTGTATATGTGAGTGTACAACTGTGATCTTACAGCCTCACTTCTGGAAATGTGTAGAGTTTCTCTTTGCTCAACTGCGTAAGAGTTAACTTTGTGACTTTTGAGTGGGGAGTCCAGGCAACCAACAAATAGTATTTCAGACCTGAGTTTCCTGTAATCGCTCCATTCTAAGGGGCTAAAACTCCCTACAACTAATGCAAGGATTATTGTTGTTATTAACTAAAGTACTATACTGTAGTTGTAATTTGATTCTTTATACCTCTATGATTTCCTGCGACTCTGCTTCCCCCGGCCACTCCCTCCTCCTCTTTCAATTCTGGTGCTTCATATTCTGTCATAATTTTGCCCTTGTCTGGAACTCTCTTTTGACATTCTTTACCCCCCCCCTTCCCAAACCCCAAGTGAGTTTGAGAGAGGCCGGGACGTTGAGGAAGTTGGAGGCAGAAGCAAGAAGATATTGCTGGGAGCTCAGAAGGATGATCTCAGTGTCCATATTCACTTGGACCAACCCCCTACTAGTTTGATCCAACATCATCTCTTCATAACAGCAGTCTTTTTAGCTCGTTGTTGCAAAACATAGTTTAGGTGTGGTTGGGTTCCTGAGTTTTTTTTTCTGCTTCTTGTAGTTTGGACTCTCTGCTGCCTTATCATCCATTGCTCAGTTCACTAAATGTTTTGTGACCGCAAACATTTTGATTTGCATAATCGTAGCTATTTAAGCAGAAAAATGCAGTACACAAAGTATTTTGAGTGACTGGTTATGGTACTAAAACCCAGTCTGGACATATATGACTAAACCTTATGAAAACTGCTCTTTCTATAACTATTGTATCGAGGATGCAATAATGGCTGAATGTTGAAGTTCCCCTGAATCTGAGTTCCTAATCTCATGCAGTTTGATCTGAGGGAAGTGCTGACATTCCTTTCTAAAAAGGGAAGGAAATAATGGAGGGCGAGTCAAAGCAGGCTCTTCGGTGGATTATACAACAACTTGTATTGCTACTGCGCCATTCACGTGGGGTAGCTTCTCAGTGCTTTACATTGGGGAGGTGACAGAAGAGACGGTCAAAGAAGAAGGTCTTCAGGTGTGATCTAAAGGGCAAGGCGAGCAAACAGCAGAATTAAGATCTGTAGTTCTGAATGGAATAATACTTTAATTTTCTCTCAAACTTCAAGTTTCAATCAGTTCTTGGAGTGGTGTATTTCACAGCTCTTTGGTGAATTGCTGCTTTAATTATTTTGTTTCCTTTGCCAATTTTCTGATAGCTTGACATTTCGACTTGTCTGTCATTCTTCCAGTTTTACAGTGGGAACTCTGCCTGTTCCTCCCCTGTCACCACCCCTCTTTAATGTAAACTCCACAACCAGTTGTAATATCTCTATTGCTTCCCCACAGATGAAATTGGCTAAGTCTGCATGATCCAGGGATTGACTTTGGGCTTTTCCCAGGACTGGATAAAATTCAGGCCCAATGGGGGAAATCTCTTGTTTAAAGTTGTTGTTCGGGAACCTAGAGATTTTAACAGATTAGTGCTGTAATACTGTATCTCTCCAACAATTTAGTTAGATTGTGGATCTCAGCTCAACCCGATCTGCATCCTGTAGCTAAAGCTTTTTATTGTTATATTTATCATAAAATAAAATCTATTGAAGGGCACACTGTACTTCTACAGGCAAAAGGGAATGTAGAAATCAATTGACTCTTTGTAGATTAAGGCGAGGCATATTCAGGACGACCATTAAGCAATCCCTGTGCTGAAAAGTCAAGTTGTGTGGAGTATTGTATAAGGGTGCAGCTGTTTCCTATGTTAATTTTCCTATGTGCAATCCTATATTTTGAACATAAACATATATAGTCGTACAGACTAAAGAAGTGACAACCAAGACAACTGGAATATTCTTCTGTCAGGGTTTATTTTCATTAAAACCCATCACCCTCAATGGAAGTTTTATTTTAAATTTTTTAATTTTTTATATTTATAAAAGAAAAAGTATTTTCTCCATAGTACTGTATTTGAAGGTTGATTTTTGTGGCTATTATTTCGATCACTCCTCATGATCTATATATCCAAGCTCCTAATGTACATTGGACCTTCACATATTGACATTTGGTACATATGGTTCAACCATGACTTGGCACAGAATATTAGTATCAATTACAGGCAACCATTTAAAAAAAACCAAATTTAGGGAAGTATTTTGTACAGTAAGTACTTTCCTATACCTTTCTTCCTTTAACACTTCAGTTTCACATTGCAGCAAACGAGTTATTGCGGTGTACAAATCTCATTTACATTTTTTAAGCAAACTTTAAAGTATTTTAAGCCTTTATTTCCTTGTACAGGAGCTGTATGGAAGCTATGAATAGAATTCAACAGTGTCTTTTTGCATGTTTTTTTTTCTCTCTTCCTTCCATGTTTTCAAATGTTGTTTTCTCTGAGGGAAAACACTAGTTAACATGAAAGACCTCCTTTTCCAGATACTATCCATTGTAGCATAAATCTCAATCTCCCATTCAAATTACGAAAATATTTGTAACTAAGTGAAGTGCACATATTGTTTTTCCAAAAAACGGTGTATGTTACTGAAACAAAAGTAAGTGTTTTAAAAGGGTATTGCTAATTGTAAAAGGGTAAGGCCATACATTTATTGAAATGATTAATGGTAATACTAAATTGCATTTATTACAATGTTCTATGTACAAAGCCCTATACTTGACAACTTTGATGTTGCTTATTAATGCATGTGTCCTGAAATTGTTTAGCCCAGACTTCTTGGCAGTGGTGGCATTTACTGGTTCCAAAATGCATTAATAATTTGGTTGTGTTTGGCCAGCACATGAAATGAAGTATAAGTGAATATTTGACTGGATATGCAGATCTAAAGTGGCCAGTTGGATGATCTGATTTATCTTTCATCTTCATCTTGAGCTGCTAACAGCAAATGTTGTGGCAGTATATAATACTGTAATCTCAGTGGAGCAAATTTTGGTGCCATTCTAATGAACACAAAATCTTACTGAATGAAAGCTGCTGATGTCCCAAAGAATATGACTGCAGAAGCTCACAAAGAGGATCTATCCCTTTATTAACTATTGTCCTTCGTGTGACTGACCTACCGAATGATTGCTTGATGCAATCGTTGGGTTTAAAGCACAAGCTCTTCTGCTTCGTAGCACAATTAGTTGTATTGATGAGCACTCATATGGAGAAAGAAGACCTTTGTATAATTGCAATGGATTTTCTGTTACAGAATACCATAGCCTACAGGATTGCTTCATTACCCAAGGAGTTCATACCATTAATGGAACCGGGATTTTACCAAGGAAGCAGCACACATCAACATTAACGCCAATCTAGATTCCAGTGACTAGCAGTGAGTACATGAGTAATGTGACATGAGACATCAATTACCTTTTTTTCCCGAAATCATTCTGAAAGCTACTTGTGTTTTCTGTAATCACTCTACCTCCAATCTCCTCTCTTCCCACCTGAAGGCAGTCACTCAACTGTACAGGTGCTGGCTGTGCAAACCTTACTTTGCCCAAGTGCTTATTCTGCATGCCCCCATTATTACCGTTGCAGAACGTTGGTGGATATAATTCAATCCACAATCTGTAAAACAAGCAGTGAGTGGAAATTAGTTGAAGGCTGGATTCTTTTTGTCTTGTTCAGATAAAATTTTAGAAGCGAGTTGAGTCAAGCTGTCTTGGCTTACGATGTCCACTAAACTCCTATGCTCTGTCAAGTATTTGTTCTGAATTTTAGCATTGTTTGAGTTAGAGCTTGGATGAGTAACTTCAGTTCATAGCATGACATTTAAAATCACTTGTACTTGTCCCTTTTGAATGACTGAATAACGTGAGGATAATTGCTCATTATACTCTAGCACACTACTAATTGTGAAGATGCTTAACAGGAGCAAACATTGATGATATTGTGGCCTAAATTGTTTCCTAAAACCATTCCACATTTATATTTTTTTCAAGTTTATTTTAATCTTTGAACTCCTTTGTGTGATTGTATTACTGCTGCAATGGCACTTCTGGAAAACTTATATTAGCAATGGAGAGCTGGGATCTTGAGGGAATGTGCCAGCACATTTAAAGTAATTTGTGTATTTTTCTGTTGAAAACTTGACCAGGGTGTTCTCCAGAAATGCATTATTTTCTCCCTTCTTGGAAAGTTATTTAATTGACCATTTCTGGAGTCCAACAGACTTATTGTTTATTGTAGTAATAATAATATTTACATTTGATATAGCACCTTTCCCATCAATAGGACCTCTCAAAGTGCTTCACTGGATATGTTGTAAAGTATCATGACTGTATATTGTGTAGGTTTCCTTCACAGAATAATAGACATCTGGAATAAATTGTCTTGAGAGGAATTCTATGTTGACTTTTTTTTTAAAAAAAGAAGCTGGGTGTATATTTAAGAAAGGGATCAGATTATGGGATATGTGTTACGAAACACAGAGGAAATTATAATTCCAGTTCAGTTGGTATCACTGGAAAATCATCTGATTTAAAAACGGTCATTGTAAAAGTTATAATTCTACATTAGCACTGTGGGTTTTTGGCTCCACTATTTTTATGATTAAATTCAATATCTTTGCCTTACATTTTTTTTACACGTGGTTATTCTCTTTACACTTGGTCTTAATTCACCTTTGAATATCCTATTGCATTTGTGCAACTCAGTCTATGCAATACCCTATTGCATTTGTGTTTTGGCTAATAATTAACTAATTCATTTTGATCTGGGCTGGCAAACCTGAGGTTTTTCTTGTGTAAACGTTCTTAAGTTATAAGTCCATTGCCTCAACCCGACAACTGCTTTGTAAATCCACTTTCAAAAACATGAGCAGCATATTGAACCAATTGTACATGAAGCCAACATTGGTCACACAAGAAAGCGAAGAGGGGGGGGGGGGGGGGATGAAAGTGGTGGTGGTGGGGGGGGGGGGGGGGCAAAGTCTATGCAGCACTGCTTTCCTTTCAATTGGCTGTTTAAGTTCTGGAAAAAACTATGTAAACTTTTGACCTTCGTCAGATGGAACCATGCAGAATGCACAGAGCAGTTGGCAAGAGTTGAAAATGTTTTTTTCCTGTGCTGGTGAAACATGCAGCTCTGGAAACTGTACAGTGTGTTTACTGACATTTATCAGGGGTAAGGAAAAGGGAGAGTGAAAGACTGTGCTACATTTCTGAATTTTAAGCAGCTTTTAAGAAAAGTCTCACAATATTCATCATATACCTCAAGGCAGAAATGCTTTATCCTCCAGTGCATTGTTTTTGATCAGTACAGTACTCTTTAACATAATTAGTTTAAATTACCAAAGCTTCACATCACTACAAATGTACTATATTCAGACATCTTAACTGCCTAAATCCTATTTAGGGACTTATTGCCAGAGGTATTGTCTTCTCCTCAGTTACCGAAGTGCTCAAAGCCCATTTGCGCTTGTGGAATAATTTCCACGTAGTGTGACCTAAAATGGGGACACAGTTCTCTTTTTACACACAAGCTTTGGATTTATTACCAGGAATATCTTTGGGTCTGTGAAATTGGACTTTTATACTCGGTCTCTCTTAATTCAGGTCTGCAAGGTTCTGTTTACGCGCAGTCACTAGAGTACTCGCTTTTTGAGNTTTTTTTGCTCTGCGTTTTACACGGACCAGGGATCAAACCTGGAATATTCTGGGCCTATACATCCAAAGTTCACGTTACACCAACAACTTGCGTTTATATTGGGCGGTGTTTTGCCAATTGAGGCACGGGTGGGAATCATGTTTATGGTCATTTGAGCCCTGGAGATTCCCCAAAATGCCCTGGGGTTTGACTGCCATGTTATAACCGCATTATAGCTTACAGCAACTCTTTTGATGGAAGCCGTGCTGTTCAGGGTAGAGTTGTAACATCATCAGCACGTTCCCGAGGTCAGTGATCGCCCACCTCCAGAGGCAATGGCATTCATGACAAACGGCTGCTATAGGGTGCGTTGTACAAGTCTGACGCACTCTTGTCCTTTTGGAACCTTCCTTGGAAACGGAGGAGGAGATCCACAGCCAGAAAGCAGAATTGCAATGGCCTTGGATTCAATCCTACAAAATAAACATGGGGTGAGGAGGGGGGGTGAACTCCAGCCACCATCAACCTCCGATTACTTCAGAACTAGTTCAAGGGCAGTTCGTAAACTCAGTATAAGAGGAGACAAGTCCTGGCCTCTCCAGGCCTTCTTTTTGTTAGTGTGAGAAGCCTTGCAGCAAAGGTTAAATAACATTGTCATTAAAACTAAATGATGGTTAGGTTAGAGCATGTACTGCATCATGAAATAGGCCTTTATTATATTCTCGAATTCAACCAGTAAGTTTTAACTGCTTTGCATTTTTGGCATAGCCCATAGAGTAAATATGGTTTATAGTTCCTAAAGTGGTTAGCATACATAGTTGCCAAAGCTACCTACTGCTGAAAAATGACTATTTCCTAATGGGAATGAAATGAGATTTCCTGTACTTCTAGCCAGCACTATGTCAAGTTGCTGTTTTACATGCGTGTAAGAGTAACATTTGGTCCATGAAGTGTGTTTCTATTGCTGGATATACACAGCTCATGAATCTGCACCAGAAAGAGATGTTAACATTTCGGTTGCACAAAAAACGTTAGCATGTACAGTCTTTTTGCTTCAGAAACTGCTTGTTTCCAGTAACCTGCTTTTTTTTTTCCACTATTTCCACTATTTGCAGGGTTTTTTTCTTTTCATTTCCCCTGACTCGGCAATTACTATTTACTCCTGGGTGGCAGGGTAGATTTTTTTAAAATGTACAGTGGCACTTTGACTCTTTTGCATGTGGAACATCCAAGTACGTAATAAACCAACTCTCTCAATGGCTGCCAGCGGTTAAGTCAACTCATTGTGATCCAACTGAAGCAGGATTGGAAAATAATTAAACCATCTCACCCCCCCCTCCCACCAACTATCCTTCTGAACACAAACCATTCCAAGCTACCTTTATCGGCAAAGCACAGAGGCAAAGTCCTATTTGGAGATGGTATTAGGTGATACGGTAACTCTGAATTATCCGTTCAATTCAATTATCTGCCAAGGAAGTCCTCTCTACTGTGGAGCAAAATGATCCTCAATTATTTTGACAATGTGGCTTTGCAGGGGTAGAGAGTGGTTCATTAATTAAGTGAAACAAGCCTTGCTCCCTGTTTTGCCTCCTCTCGCTTGTGCTAATTATTAAAAGAGCTTCCGCACATACAGTATAGGAGACTTCATTACTTAAATTAGCTTTAGTATACCAATTTATTTTGTAGATTTTATTCCGACTCTTGTTAAAACATCATCAAAACATCCTTGGGGGGGGGGGGGGGGGGAATGTAAAATAATTTATAAGCTTTCCTTTTAAAGTTCTAGTTCTATATTGGATTTTAGCATATGGTTGCATAAGTTAGATCTTAGAAACCTAAGAGGGGTAAAGGAACACAGGGATTTAGGGATTTAGATTAATAAAACGCAGAGGGTAGCAGCATGGGTGGATAACAACAACAACAACAACAACAAGATTCCATTTATAGAGCGCCTTTCACGTCAGGAGGACGTCCCAAGGCGCTGCACAGTTGGGTCATGACCCGAGCAGGGGGGAAATGGTCAGGGTGAGGGGAGGGAAGGGAGGGAGAGAGGAGGGGGGAAATGGTCAGGGTGAGGGGAGGGAAGGGAGGGAGCGAGGAGGAGGAAGAGAGTCGAGAGGGGAGCTGAAGGCACGGATAAGGCTATAAAGAATGCAAATAGTCCTGGGTCTCATGTCCAGAGGATAGAGCACAAGATTAGGGAGTTAAATTTATATAAACCTTTGGTAAGACCACATTTAGAGTACTGTATGCAGTTCTGGATACTTTACTACAGGAAGGATATTGTATCATTGGAGGGAGTGCTCCTTAGCTAATAGAATGTATTACTACTTCAAACCTACTTACTTCCCACTCCACGACCTGCTGCTTCCACTCGGCTGGCTCTGGCCTCCTACTTGTCCCTCGTTCCCTCTACTCTACCATTGGCGGCCGTGCTTTCAGTTACTACGCCCTGAAACTTTGGAACTCTCCTCAATCCCTCTGCCTTGCCCCCCTCCTTCCCCTTTTTCCAATTGCCCCAAATCCTCCTCGACTATGCTTACGATCACCTCTCTCCCCTGGCTCGGCCATTATTGTGCACTCCAAGTCACTCCAAGCCCTTCGTGAAGGCCGCTATAAATATAAACACAAGAAGCTGTTGTGCCATCTTGGGACGTCCTCCTGATGTAAATTTGTATTGTGTGTTGTATGTTCTATCCCAGTTTGCCAACTCTTGTAATTCAGGTTTTACAGGAAGCA